AGTAGTAGTTTAGTACTCGACGCCTTTGACGAATTTCTGTTGCTGTTGATGTGTCAATAATGTACAATTGGCCATACACGGGGTCTTCATCATGTTGAGGCAGCAAATCTGAGATTGAACGATAAATCTGTCCTTGAATTTTGAAACAGTATGGTCCTTTTCCTGGAATATCTTTCTTGCTGGCTGAAAAATAAGCAAAAGCCATCGCACTGTTGCATTGTCGAATGAATTTATACAGTTGTGGGCTCTCTTCAAACAAACTTTTAAGTTCTACATTAGTTTTTTACTGAGGAAGGTTAATAAGTCCGTTATGGCAACATGTCATAAAATGATTATTCGTTAGTTCTTCTCTAAAATGAAGAGCACTACATGGAATGCACTCTTGGTCCAATAATCCTGCATCATGGATCTTTACATTTCTCTCGTCTACCATGGGTCTCCTAAAAAGGGGTTGTAACATATCTTGATTAAGTTCGTCATTATCTACAAGAGTAAACAACAACAGAGCAAGAGCTCTCCTACGCGCACTGTCATTCCTATGAACAGTTCCCCGCCTTTGTGGTATTCCCCTGGCGTTCATATTAATTACAGTACTTATAATGAAAAGAATATATATCCAGCAGCCTACATACCAAAACATCTTGAATCCCTGGTGATTTTATAAAAGTATGATCGAATATGATTACTCTACGCTACGTTGTATATTCACTGCACTAAAAAAATTTACTTACGAAGGAATGCAAATACACCATTTTAGAACCAATAACATTTATAGGTTATTTTAGTTGTATATATTTACACAACCTTAACCTTAAAATGTGTAGAAATATAAAGAAAACAACATCATTTAAAATAAACTTGAACATATGATTTAAAAATAAAAACAAAACAGAAGTTAGATTTAATTTCGACTCTTTGATTATTTATACAGAATATTTATTCTATGTCGTTTATTCCTTTAACACGACAATAACGTAAAAGCATGAAAAAATGAAACTTGAGTATATGATTTAAATATAAACAAAGAATGCAGACGTTTTTCCGACTAATCTTCAATATTTCAGTTTTATTATAGTATACATTTCATAGATGACTGGCTAAAAGTAAACCAAATGCGTGTATTGATCACTGTTTTCAAATCTGTGGCACAGCTGTTTAAATTTCAAAAGATGTAAACAAATTAAACCCCATGCAGTCACTCCCATCCAGTCACTCACAATTTCTTTACAAAATTTTGACTTACGGAATTATATATATAGATATAGACTGTCAAAGAAAGGTTCCGCGATGTGCCGCTCGCAGTTACGTGTAGTTACGGCGCACACGCTGCAGGCGAGGAGCCGTATGCTAGGCCGGGTAAATTGACATTTTGGCGTTACAGACAGAATAACAGACAGACAGACAGACAGACAGTAGACAGACAGAGAGAGAGGCAGACAGACAGACATAAATTGAGATAAGACTAGTTTTGGCTAACTTAAGCTATAAAACGTAAAAATAACCAAAAAAACTGCAAGATTCTACGCAATGTACAGACAAAACTGTAATTTTATTTATATAGATAGACAAATAGAATAAATATAGACTGTCAAAGGAAGGTTCCGGCGCTCTAGTAGATTAAGTTCATAAATACCTACTTTTGAATGTGTTCGTATAAAAAACGTCACGTGTATAAGTCGACCACTTGTTTGAAAGAAAGACCTGATGGTATCTTGCAGCGGTAGTAACTGAGCCACATCACCACACTGATATATGTAGTAAGACAACAAACACTTCATCTTGGTTTTCAGGTTTCGCTTGACGTAAGCGTTTCTTAATAATTGCTAGTAGCTTCTGCCCACACATATAAATTTCCTCGTAAACTTCAACACGGACGTTTTCGGACCAAATCTGATGATTTCGGTTGTTTTACTCCTGTACTTCAATAAAATCTCGTATATTCTATCTCAATGCCGAGTTAATTGTTTGGCAATTAACATTAGAAGAAGCACAACCAGTTGTTGCTAATACGAGAGCACTGCCATCACCAACATTTTTATTCCGTTGTATTTACTATCTCATTTATATCTACTGACTTTTTTTATACAGCCATAACACTGTTTTGATTGCGAGATGAAAATAATGGAACACTTATACAAAAACGCGTAATAATTAACTTGTTCTTTATGTCTAAAATATTCAATCATGTTCAAAGTTAAACCAAGAATTAATCACGCACTTAAATAATACAAAACAAGAAGATTAACAGCAATAATATTAGAACAGAAAACAGTATAAGTCATAAAGAATCAATGTCACTATTCCAAAAGCAAACTTATTTGTATTATTATTTAAATGAAACTCTCAAAAACGCCCAAACCACATGTTAATGTTTTAGTATTGGTTAGAACTAGTCACGTAATTTTTATGATCCATACCTACCACTAATGTTTAAATATCCACCATAACTCAGTTCATCAGTTACAATAACTACTTCGATTCAACAGCTGATCTTATGCATTTGTTTTTGAGTCAAATTTTTCTTCCGTAAGGGTTACAATTACATTTTGAGGGCGGATTCCTTAGAGAATCTTTTTTACGCCATATAGATGTTAGGACTCACCGATATGGTTTTTATCACCATGCAAAATTTGAAAATGATTGCTTCAGCCTTCTAGGAGGAGTTTGCCTATTACGAAATGCATAAGAGTCGACGTTTAAGAGCTTCACTTTCTCCGCTCAATAAGACAAGTTGGATTGTTATAGATAACTGGATCTTTGTAAATGGACTCTAAAAATACATTAAACGTGAGGAGACGAAGCCTTAAAAGGAAGCTTTTAAAATTGCCAACCGCAGGGTGCGCTAGATCATGAGCTTTAAAATTACACCTCAATCGTAAAAATCGGTTTCAAGTAGGGCGACTGGAAAGGGGATGTTATGAAACATACTTATTGTATTATAGATTATTATATAATATGTCTATGTATAGTTTTTCCAGTGATAAGTCTTTTGTGGTTTGGGGCCCAATTTTTTACATTTTAATCTGCTAACTTAAATTTTAAAAGATTTAACTGTTGTTTACACCTTGACAAAAATGAATGACCCGTTACACCTGGATTTTGCGCAGTAAATATGAAACGCGGGCATTCAAAAACACGTCGAATGAATTTAAGAAAAAAATACAAAACCATTTACAGTATATAGATTGGTTAAAAATACAAGGGCTGGAAACTAGTTAAAAGTTTAAAGTTGCCTCATAAAAGTTGCTCCAACTGCTTACTTTGTGTAAATTATAAATGGAATGCGATCTTCACACTTCACTTATTCTTTTGAGTGTGCAGCATTTAGTAGAGATAAAAGTTGTATGCCAAAGAGAAGGATTTAAATGGTCAACAATATACAGTAATTTCTTACTTTCTCCTCGTATCAATAGCTATTAAATTTTGTACATCAACTACCTAAATAATTGATTATTATTATTGATTATTTGTTTCAATGAATAAAAAACAAAATTACGTTATTGTACAAACATTGTTTTCCTATGAAACCAGTATTACAGATCCTCCTGTGAAGCAGGAACAATGTTACAATTCTCTTAAATACGATACAATTCCACATTTTACACGTTTATTCGTATAAGAACGAAAACAGCCATTTTGCATAATGTGATGGAACTAGCTTCTAGAAATGTTCGCTAAGGATTTCTCAGAACCCTATTAAGTTTGTGTTATTGCCATCCATTGACTTTCCAATAACAAATCTTCATAAAATGAACCACATCTCCGTCTGTCAATGTTTGAAATCTCGAGAAATGAAGGTTTTATTGATGATTAATGGAAAACTGTCGGTGCTGATTCCTACACAACTGCACTGGGTACTTTACTACACTTTCACAAGTTTGCACTGTATTATGTAACAATTAGTGCCATTGAAGGTTGATTCGTTTACGTTACTGATCTGTTAGTTTCTTTCTTATAGATTTAATAAAACGACCGTTAAGAGAATAAAACGTAAAAGAAGCAATATATTCAAACGGGACTTGTATGGTTTTTAAACATTAAAATTGTAAATTTTAACTGGACAAGCCCTTAGTGGGTAGGGTAGTTTTGATGGTGTTTTGACTTTTAAAATTCTTTTATGTTTTTATGTGTGGGATAAAAATGTATGTTTTCTGACACAATATCTTGTCAAAAAGTTACATTATGTGGTAGTTTTCTCATTTTTTTTTGCATTTTTGAACTGGTTTTATTACAGCTCAGAAGGTATTAAGTTTTATATTCGACGATATAAACTTTACATCTATTAATGTAGCCTACAAGAGAGATGCGATATAATAAGATGTTAATCAATCAAATCTATCTACACACAAAAACATACTTATTGTAAATAATTAATTTTATGAATTACAATAATTAAATTACATATTGGCTGATGCTTAGTAATTTATTCGTCATATACTTTCATACATTTAGATCTAATATATTCTACGTTTAAAGGATATTCTCTACAAATCTTAAGTTTTTCCTTTCAACTAAAATATGTATGGAAAACCTCGGATTTGGAATCCAAGCAAAGAAACGTATATTTAAAGAAATCAGAACCTAAAACTTTCCTAAACAAACTACTGTAAAAGTTTTCTAGAAATAAAAATGTTTACTTTTGGTAGTAGATGTAATAAGTATTTCCCGGATATTTAGGTACTGTATCCATTTAAACTAAATCTGTAGTAAACAAATAATGGTAAACCAAGCACGTGAGTAATCAGAGATTTCTATAAAGTAATTATACATCTAATGGATTTTGTATATAATTACTAGATGTTTGAACAGTTTGTGATTAATTTTACAAAAATACTTATGGGGAAGGGGGAGTGGGGGGCTCAGTTCAAAACCTTCAATTTATTTTGAACCACACATCCTAATATAAATACGAGACACCAATATTATTATTTTCCTGTAGTTAAAAAACATTTAAGAACAGGTACAAATTTTATATTTAGAAACGAAACATCTAAACTCACCACAGAGCATCCCTCAGCCATACACAATCCCTTTGCCGTCTTAGTTGACAACTTTGCCTGTAAAAATGTGGGAAAGGTTAACACCAGAATCACGACCATCCACCACCGCATGACGATAACACCGCACTGACAACACAAGTCAGCGCTGCCAACCTACCAAACTCGTACCGGGGTGACCACCCCCTAGTTAACACGACAGTGATTCAAATTTGAACTTTTTTTTGTTTTTTACCTCTGATAAAATGAATAAACGGTATCAGTAAACTGGCTGATACTTTCTTGAATTAGGCTTTACATAAAAAATAAACAACATTAAATATTTTTTTTCTAATTTGAGAAAAAATTGAAAACGGGTAACCGGTGGGAGTGACTATGGTTTGGGGGGCCCAAAAATTTCAAAAACAAATTAAATACCCCCGTCGCAGCAAACCTGCATACTAAGCGAATTTCCATTTACCCGGCTTGATTTCTACTAAAATATTCCCTATAAATTTTCAGATTTATTTCCATTTTTAAATAACATTAATTTTAGTGAGAAGTTAGGTTTGCTGCTACGGGGAAGATGTTGAGGTGTGTTTTTTCAATTGAAATATTGATAGCTTAGTATGAAATAAACCAAATTGCCAAATTTGATTAAAATATATCCATAAACAAGCAAACTAGAACAGTTTATTTATTCTCCATAAGAATAACATGGGAATTTTAAATTTACAATTTTTTTTAATTTTCTCCGTAGTCAATGAACATTCAAAAACACTTCAATATACTAAATTATTTGTTTTTTTAAGCTCTTCAAAATGATCTAGAGAGAAATTTAGAAATTTAAAGTTTTTAGGGTCTAAAATGAGAAAAACCCATTTTTACCCCATAAAACCTCCCATAAACCCCTGATCCCATGGTCCGATTATGCTGGTTCGCGAACTCGTTTGAATAAATGTAGGTTTACACATTTGTACCAAATTTCATCAAAATCGGATCAATTTTGCTCAAGTTATCGCGCTAACGGACACATATATAAATATACTAGCTGACCCGGCGAACTTCGTATCGCCTAAGTTATAGGTTTCCCCTAAGACAGACCGATGGAAAGAAAGTACCGTTACGTTTAATTTTCAAGATGATCTCGTTCGCATCGCTCAATCACGTCCTGGTTGAAGTTCGTTCGCTACGCTCACTCACCTTTGGGTTGGAGCTCGTTCGCTATGCTCACTCACCTTTAGGTTGGAGCTCGTTCGCTGCGCTCACTTGCCTTCAGGTTAGCTCGTTCGCTACGCTCACTCGCCTCTCTCGTTCGCATCGCTCAATCACGTCCTGGTTGAAGTTCGTTCGCTACGCTCACTCACCTTTGGGTTGGAGCTCGTTCGCTACGCTCATTCGCCTCCAGGTTGAAGTTCGTTCGCTACGCTCACTCACCTTTTGGTTGCAAATTAGCTGTTGTCATAAATGTAAAAGAAATAATAGTGCTGCACCCTGTTGGTAATCCTTGTAACTTTAATGCTATTGAACATCATAGAACAGAACCAACTTGTTTCATTGAAACAGCTGTTAAGATTCATTAATTCCATTTCTCATAAGGTTAACATGGGAAACTCCAGAGCCACTGGGGCGGAGCCATTTTAAGAATTTCGAAACGGGAAATAGTTTACGTCCGATTCGCATACCTACAGAATTTACACACCAAATTTCATAACGATCGGTGAAGTCGTTCCGGAGGTGTTTGCAGACAAACACTGTGACACGAGAATTTTATATATTAGATATATATATATAAATATATATATATATATATATATGAATTTGAACGGATGGTGTTTTTGGCCTCTGGGGACCTCAAAACGAAAAAGTAAATCGGTCCCGAGTCTAGGTCCTACCATGAGACCTACGGTAATAGCTTATTCCCTATATGGGAAATTCGCTAAAAGCATACGAGCCATAGTTTTGTAGCTATAGGTTTTAAAAGGTTAAAAGTACTATGACATACTAATTTTAATGACAAATACCACATGCCAAATCTATAAATTAATAGGCAAGCATGTTTCTTTAAAACCTTTTTTCTCAGCTCGTGTCCATCGCAGAAAAATCCTTTAAAATTGAAATAGGTTCAAAAATAAGCATAAAAAATTAATTTAACATTGTTTTATTTGCTTGGGCCTTATGGGTTGCCATGATGGTGAAGAAATAACAACAAAATGTAAACAGAAAATCTAAGCAAATTGAAGAAATTCCAAACACATGATTTATTTACAGCGTGGGGGAAAAAGAGAAGCCCGTAAATTATATACTTTTGGTCGAGTTTTTGACCACTGAACGACCTCTAGTATCATCAAAATCGTACCAAAGGCCTGTAGCTCTCTACACTTCCATGCACGCACTCACACACTAACAAAGTTATTGGTTCGGGTTAAAGGGGAGCAAAATATCAGCTAACCACATCTCATGTTATCAGTGCCTCAATATTTACCTAATAATAAAAAATTTAAAATTTTCACCATAAATATTTAAAAAATGCGATATCAATCGTTTGAACTTTCATCGTAGTTTACCATGTACAAAAAAATAAAAAAATAAAGGCTGTAAATACATTTTTAGGGATTAACGTGTACGTGGTTGTGCCTGAATACGTTGTCTATGACAAAGCTATTTTTCAATGATTATTATCTCTGCTATTTGATTTTCCACAGACAATGTTGTGTTTGGTCAACTAACTAATTAACACGTAATTACTAGAATTCCCAGGTTTATTTAGCGAAGAACACAAAGTTTTGACAACACTGCGTGGAGTGATGTGTTCTTTCCTGGATTCGTTTACGATTCAATTTTAATTTACTGTAATTTTTTTAGATAATTTGTTTTGTTAGTACACTTATATATTGTTTGGTCGTTCAGTAAATGGGTCCAAACCAAACTGTACATACTATTTTTTAAATGAATAAAACCATAAAAAAATTTTAAACCATACATGTGTATTTATTTTTTAGACTGTTAACAACTATGTGTTCAGTTACACTTTTACATAGTGCTGTAAACCGGATATTCTGAATTAATCTGAGTCAAAACAAGTACGTTTGACTTGTTACGTCTCCGAGGACATGTGAATTATTTGACCACATGAATAAAAGTCTCAAAATGGCGGCCTGAATTTCAAATCTTCAATTTGAATATGAAATTGAGGCGTTGCCCAGAGGTCTGTGGGCATGATTAAGTCAAAAGCTGCACTTTCACAACTAAGTAAAACACCTATTCTGAATAATAGCCCGATTGTTTCTTTTCATGGTAGTTCTACAAGAAAATATGGGTTTAGTGTCAAGGGGTAATTGAATATTATATGAGATATAACATTTTATATCTTCATCAAAGATTATCAAATAAAGCACTAAAATCAATACATGTATAACACTTTTTTTCTTTTAATATGTTTTAAAATTACCAATACTTTACTCCTGTACGGTTTCTTTAAGAGTTCAACTGGTGAGAGACAAAGTTTTTGTTCCACATTATTAAATCAATAGATGCTCTAAATTAAGCATCTTTTTAGTTCGAAGGTTTTCCAGGGAATGACACCGGGTTGGATAAATTAACTTCTATAAATTATCAACCTTGTGAGAAATGGTAACAGCTTTCAATCTATTATTTCAAAGATATTATTTTAGTGTTTATTTAGGACTGACCTGCTTGCAAACACAAATCGACAAATCAACAAACACATTCAAATATCCAAACAAGGTATAAGTTCCTTTATATTATCCTAGAGTTCTCTCTCAAACATCCTGTTAAAAGTGTATGTTAATGGTAAACGCTGCCATGGTAACGCATACGTCACTCTGGTCTAGAAGCCATGAAACAGGTTATAGCAGATAGGCTATATATATTGAGGTTTCAAAACATCTTCGGAAAAAGGTTGGGTGACATTTTGTATTAATACTACTACAATATTATAGTACTTACTATATTTTTCTATTCAAAATATTGAATTAAAAATGTTCTAGCCCAACCTTACCTAACCCAAATCAACCTAACCCATCCCAACCTAACATTACGTATTTTTTTCTATACCTAGAGCGTAGTAAGTAGATAAGTCAAACTCCCAAGTCTCAGGTTACCATGCTACTAAGATTATTAACAGGTTAGTTTAAAGCCTCCAATTTTTACCATAACCCGGAATAGGTTGAAATAAGTGTATATAAAATATTTAGTTAATAATTCACTGGAAAGAGTCAATTATTTATTTTCATACTCTGACGGGGAGATCATGGTTGGAATCTCCCAGACAACTTAGACATTGTTACTCCAAGTTTACGGAATATGCGGTTTACACAACTTCCTGGTTGTTGGTATGTAAAGTTACTCGATTCACTACAATGTCCACTATCCGCAAATACACACCGGAACCACCGAAGAGTTTCCTATACACAGGGAAATTGCAGTGATCTACATACAACAATACTGTGTAACTGTTCAGCGACAAACTGCATTTAAAAATTTACATAGTCTTTTTTACGGCATGCCTAAACTATAAACGATCTTTCTGTCATATGTGAGTATTACTTATATTCATTTTAATCATTATTTACATCAGCTGAGGTTGATATTTGTTTAAGTTTACTTTTAATACAGTGTATTAAATAATTTCATTCAGAATACCAGTCTTTAAAATATATTCAATCTCATTATTAATTATTCGACTGTTTCATCTTTTAGTTTAGGCTAATAATAGTTCATAATAAATTTTGTTATGTAACTAGCCACCCAATTGCAAAAACAAAATATATCTTACTAATATTATAAATGTGAAAGTTTGTGTGTTTGTTTATTTGTTTGAAGTTCAATCACGCATTAACTACTGGACTGATTGGGCTGAAATTTGGCATGATGATAGCTCACATTCCCGATTAATATATAGGCATATTCTTATCCCAAAAATACTTTCGTGCTCCGCCCCAGTGGCTCTGCAGTTCCCCATGTTAACCTTATGAGTATTCATATTATTTAAAGGTACCTAAATAAATAATTTAGTCAGCTGTTTCGCTGTTTCAACTAATAAAATTTGGTTCTATGATATGCAAAAGCATTAAAAAGTTATAAGATTCGCCAACAGGGTGCGGCACTATTAT